GATACCAGGCAGCTGAACACAGCTGCCCTTTGAATCTGTGGGTTCTGCATTCATAGGTTCAAGTAACTGAAGACTGAAAATGCTTGAAAAAAATTGGATCTGTACTGAACACGCACAGACATTTTGCTCGTTATTAGTCCCTAAGCAATATAGCATAACAACTGTTTACATAGCATTTATATTTTATTAGGAATGTAAGTCACCTAGAGATGATTTAAAGTATACTGGAGGATGTGCAGAGGTTCTATGCAAATACCACACCATTTATATAAGGAACTTGAATATCTGTAGATTTTTGGCATGTTCAGAAGTCCTGGAATCACTCCCCATGGATACAAGGGATGAATAGACACAAGGTTATTTAAGAGACAGAAAGAAAATCTGACCTGGAGTCTCTGCAGGCTGGGTGAAAGGGAAATAAAGTAAAACCAGACAGCTTTGGAGAGAAGGAATGGCAGAGCTGCTTCTCAGTGATGAGAAAGTTCCAATACTTTTTCTAAGGAACCAACCAGGACTTCCCCATAGTTGGGCTGCCTTTGCTGCCTGTTTTCCAGTGAGTTCAGCAACATCTGGGTAGAAATGTACAGCTAGGTCTGTGGCCAGCAAATCTTAGCTTCTGGTAGCAACCCTTTATGCTTTCAGTGGGACCTAAGGTTAGCAGAGTGTTTGTGAACAGCCAGTTCAACATTATTGAAGATTTTATTCCCAACTACAGTTGGCCCTCTGACTCCTTAGGGATGTGTTTCCAGGGACCTGCAAGGACACTAAAATCCTCAGTTGCTTGAGTCCCTCATAAGATGGCACAGAATTTACCTATACCCTATGCACATTCTTCTGAATACTTTGAACCAACTTTAGATGACTTGGGATGTCTGACATGATGTAAATAACATGTAAATAGTTGTTATATCATACTGTTTAGTGAATAATGACAATGCAACATCTGCATGTTCAGTAAAGGTGCAATTTTTTCCCAAAAATTTGATCCTCAATTGGTTGAATGCATACATGTGGAACTTACGGTTACAGAAGACTTACTATATTTCTATCTTTCCAGCATCCCCAAGAGTAAGAAGGGGTCTTGAAGAGGGATGCTTTGAGGGCTGGTGGCTGGGGAACTAACAAAATGTTTCCTGATTCATTTTCAGAGACCCTCTGCTGTCCTGAAATTGCCATATAGATTCTTGGAGTGGCATCATGGTTTAGAGCTATGTTGTTTGTCTAGTGGAGATCAGTTGAAACATAGGTGGGGCCCCACAGCAGGTCCCTCCCTGGGCTCTGCTCTGTTGCAGCTGCCTCCTTCATCCATTACACTTTGCTCTGGCTCCTGGTTTTACTACCTGTTCTCTAGTCTTAGCACAGTTACTGAAATGCCAAAAATATCTGTGTGCACCTCAGCTTTCTACTGAGCATCAATGCAAAGGAAGGTAGCTTGGGGAAACCTGGTGAGGAGTATACATTTGCCCCCTTTCATTGGTCATTAGGAATTTATTTCCAGTTAAACAAGCTGAGAAATGTAATTAAGCACATGGTTGATGGTGCCAGCCAACTGTGCCTGCCAGTTAAAACAATAGGTTCTTTAAAGATGCCAAGGGCTGATATTATGTATCTTCTGTTGGAAACTGTATACACTTCACAATCCTGGGCCTCCTGTGTGCTGCCTCATATCTTCAATCAAATTATTATATTCCAGAAATATGCATAAGGGAAATGATTGTACACATTTTATGGTGGGTTGTTGCTTGTAGCAGTAATTGAAGTACCTTTTCCACTTATGAAAGTACTAATTTTATTTGTTTTTATTGCTTTTCTAGATGCAATTATTTATTTAGTGTGCTTTGGCTTTATTAAATTATGCTTACTATAGGAACATCATAAAAATGTATGAAAACAACACATCAGCCAAGCCAGGCTGGTGACCTGTATTGAGAAAGCTAGTGTTATTTTTCATATCCAAACGTAATGAAATAACTTAAGAATAAACAGATAATCTACACTAGAAAACAATGAAATTTCAAGGTAATGCAATAAAACACCTGGACAATATGATTTCATAAATCTTGGTTCTAAAATTTACATGAGTTGGGTTTTGAGTGCTTATTTGAGGACACATGGCATTTCTAAATAGAATCATTATAATGTGAAATGTAATTAAACCGAGAGGCAAGAATGTAAACAGGGGTTTTGTTTGCTGGTAAGATACAGAAGATGAAGAAGCAATGTAAAGACTTTTGGTGTCAAAAGATAAGCAGAAACTCTCATCCCTATAAATGTACTTAACTATGAGCTTCAAAATATGGCTAGACAAACTGTCTAGCCGTAGTCTGCAGGTTGGGTGCTGGCTTTAAGGAGTCCCTAGAAGCCTCTCACTTCCTATTCTATTAGGGTGCTTTATCTCTGAAGAAGAGACTTAAATTGAATGGAAACAATTTATTTGTCCTGAATTTCTATAAGATAAACAAGATATAGACATATAACTTCTTTCAAAAAGGGAAAAATTGGAAACAAAAAAACCCAAAACTAAAGCCAAAAACCAAATCCAAAAATGCTTAAATCTAATATCTAGTTAATAGAGAGCAGAGCTATTTAAATTAAAATGTCTATATGACTCTAAATGAATGATCACTCAATGCATCATTTAAATACATATGTCTATTACAAAATCCAAAAAAATCATCAAACATATAAAAAAGTGTGAATCTCCCCAAACAATCCATTTCACTTCCTTAGAGAGAGCCACGTTGAATGGACTCCAGTTTCCAAGGCTTGCCAGGGTTTTCTAAGTGTGTAATGTGTGCACACACACATTCACCACATACGTGCATACACATGTGTTACACAGATGGTGGTGAGATACACAGTACATGTATGGCCTGTCATTCTTAAAGACCATGCCACAGAGTCCACTATCTGAATACCCTGGACCCTATTGATGTCCACTTGAGTGTTTGCAGTTTTTTGCTTGTACCAAGAAACACTCCCCACCAACAATGTATGAGAGGACCAGATAATTTGGGCAGCCGTTGAAAGGTTTTTGTTTGGCACCTTGAATCTCGAATCTCTTAGGATGGGTGAGGCTGAGTCTTGTCCCATCTGTGTAAGAGCCACCTGGGCTTCCTTTCTTGGGTACTATGTGATGAGCTCTGTTGTCCTTTGCTGGATTTTTAGTGGACATTTGGCCGTTATCTTTGTTGAATTGTAAACCCATTGGATACAAGCTGCAAACGTTTTCCCTGTGTTTTCCAGTTGCACTTTGATTTTATTTACAGAGTATTTTACCATTTGTAGCATGACAAAGTGCATCATTTTTGTTCTGCCTCCTGAGTTTTGTATCATACTTTAAAATGCCTTCCAAACTATTATCATTTTTTAAACTCCCTGCATCCTAATATTTTTATAGATTTATTTTCCACATTAAAAATTTTAAATCATTTGGAATTTACCTAGACATAAAGAATGATATGAAAATATGATTTAATTTTTTTCTCAAGCAGCTGCCAAAGATGCCAACATTTCTTGAAAGGTAATATTAGGACAATTCCTTTCTCATCTGACCCTGAAAATATGTCTATTCATCTGACAGTAATATAGCATTAGAATTTGTTTTGCTGCCTATTTTTAATATCACTAGAGTTAGATTACCAATTATTCTTTATTGTAATAATGTTTTTTAATCATGTTAAGAAAAGTTACATCTATGATTACTTCACTCAAAAATTGATTTTAATAAGAGTGTTTGCTAATATTTATTAAATGCCTTTCCATTTTAGAGAAAGCATATGCCTTTATCTATTGATATTTTACTATTGTGCATTATATTAACAGATTTTTCTAAAGTTGAACTACGTTTGCATTCCTGGAATAAAATCAACTTGAGTATGATTATTTATTTTTATGTACTTTTTCATTCTAAGTAAATTTGAATTAAAACTTTCAATAAGTGATATGATCCTAGAATATGTGAAGGTTTTCTTCCTTTCTTATGCCCTGGATCAGTTTAATTACATTGAAATCACCTGTTCCCTAGGGCAATTTCTTTTTGAAAATTCTCCTACAAAGCAATTTACTCTTGAGAGAAACCTCCCCCCACTCCCACCTTGATGATAATTAGTACATTCAGATGTCCTGAGTTAACATTTATCATTTATATTTTTTCTGGTATATTACCATTTTACCTGTATTTCAAAATTTTTCAGTAAGTTGAGCAAAGTGGTCTTATAAAACTTTGTAAAATTTCCTTCATTTCCATTCTCTTTATCATTTTCTATTTTATTTGTTTATACATTTTTCCCTTTTTACATTAAATATTTTTTAGTTTTTGTGTTTCATTGGCATTTTCCCAGCATCAGCTTTTAGGTGCTCTGCTGTTTGCTGTCTGATTCATGCCATTGAGTTTTATTTTTATTGGTTTCTTCTGCTTTTCTTCGACTTAATTTGTTCTTTTTCTAACTTCTTGAGTTGCATGCTTGACCACCTCACATGTGTGTTTAGTATATATTTAAAGCTATGGCTTTTCTCAAGCAGTGCTTCAACCATACTCTTTAGAGTCTGGAAAATAATATTTTCTTAATCATTACTTTTAAGATAGCCTAAGATTTTGGTGTTATATAGGTTAATTCATTTATAAAAATGTCTAGGTTCATTATTAATTCACAGAGTGTTTTATTTCTGTCTTCACCTTTATATTTTTATTTTGGTTGGAGTCTATTAGTTATGATATGCTTTTTGGAATTAAAGTTTTCTTTGTGGCCTAGTGGCTAGTCATTTTTTGTGCATGTGTTCCATGTCAGCTTGAATATAAATCTCAGTGTCTCTTGGCAGAGCCTAGCTGTATTGGACAGTGAGCTCTTACTATGTTTGGGTTTATAGATTTTTACAAAATTTTGGTCCACTTGTTTCCCTTTAAATTCCCAACATGCTGTGAAAATGTATGTTTGATGACTGAAGGTGTAATACAGAACTGCCTGTAGTCAACTAGAACTGTGTTTGTTTTTTCATAGCCAAAGATTGCTGAGGAAAACCTGACCTATGCTGAGCTGGAGCTGATCAAACCACACCAGGCAGCCAAAGGCGTTCCCACCAGCACCGTGTATGCACAGATCCTCTTTGAGGAGAACAAGGTGTAACACTTCCTCTTCTGTGGCAGTGTCACCTCGGCCACTCAGTTATTTATGAAACCTCAGAAACAAAGCCCCTATTTTTGTACTTTCACTTGTGCCTTCTGTGTGGTGGGGAGCCCCTTCCCAACTGTGTTCCAGTGCCTTTGAAGAGGTATGAGGCTGCTCTCCCCATGGAATAAGGACCACAGCCCTCAGACAAGTCTCCCAGGACCAGCGGTCCCAGGCCTGACCCTGAGGTATAAGGACTCTGCTTATGAGAGTGCCCAAGGACATTGTCTGCTGAGCCAACCCCATCACCTTTCCCTGGGTTTTAATTTGTTAAAATCTTTCTTTAAGATCTTAATCTTCCTATGAACCCTTCCTGTGTCTGTGAGCCCCAGTTCAATGCTACAGGAAATGCCATTAGAGGTGGTGTATATGGTTTTTCTAAGGAGTCCAGGACATTGCCAGGGCACCCAGAGCACCACAGGCCACTGATGGCAAGCAGCCGTGTATGATGGCATCCATTGTTTTAAATAGATGCTCTTATCCTGCAATGGAAGGGCAAGGATGGTGGGAATCTGAGGTCCATCTCTGAAAACTCTGGTACCCCTCTTCCCACCCATGATTCCCCAATGCCATAGGTCTAGAAGGGCACCATTCTAAAGTACTGCCCCCTCAGCAGAGCAGACCTAGATGGATAGAGAAATATACTGCTCACCCTTTTCCAAAGAAGTGAGTTTGCCACCAATGGACACACGGGGAAGAAAGTGAGCCTCTTCAAAATGTGCTGGACTTGGCCGACTTGCACTGAATGCCCACTCGTGGGAAAGCAGTTTTTCACCAGGTTCCCTCAGGGTAGGAGAAGCTAAAGTATGAGCCACACTGGAAGCACGTGTCATGAAAACCCTACTTTTGTCAAGTGCCTTGCGCATCTCAACCTTGGATGTGAATTCTAGTGGGCTTGGGTGGACATCAGGGCCGCGCAGGACATAAATATATGGGGAGATTGCTCTGTGGATCTGTACAGGGACCTTGGACTCGCAGAAGTGGATCCGTTCTGCAAGCGTCATCCTGCGGCTGTTAGGTGTGTTGCTGATGTGTGGTGTTCTATGGGTCGCCACTTACTGCACACTATAGGAGTCGTTTGGCTATGTAATGGACCATATATATGTGATAAATTATCTATCTGGGTGTGAGTTGTACCCCTCTATATCTTTGTGTGACTTTGGTTGAGTTTCTTACCTCCTAATAGCCTCAGACATGTATGTGTGTAAAGGTGACTTAACATCTCGTACAATTCTTGAGGGTAAGATTGGGTAAAGACTATTGCCAGAGTCTGAAAACTATAAATTGCTATGCAAATATCCTTGTTTGACATTCATGGTAAAACCATCTGCATTTCCAAAATGAAGATTTCCGAGGCTTTTATTGTGATGGCTTTTTCCCCAGGGCTGGGGATTTGACCCACGGCTTGTGCATGCTAAGTAAGCACCCTACCTCAGAGCCACATCCCTAGGCCTGCAATAACTTTTGGTCCACAACTAACCCTATAGTAAAGGTCCCAAAGACTCATGATGCCTTAGGAGTACCTCGTGGTTTATTGGAAAGGATCCAAATGGAAGCAGATATTGGCTTCCTGTGTGCAAAAATGGTCCTCCTTTTACAAAGTGGAAGTTCAACTTTTCTGGATGACCCCTGCATCTCATTCCCTCTCCCTCTGCCAGATCTGAAAGGCAATGAACATAACACACAGTTTTTGAGGAAGAAATACTATTTGGAAGAACACTAGTGTGAGTCCTCTTTCGTGAGAATATGTGGTTTACACACGACTTGTATTATAATTACCATAAGGAACATTTTATTCTGCCATGGCAGTGTTCCAGCTGATGGTTGTATGGTGTTTTGAGGACACATGGTGATTTCCTAATCTGCACAAAGCACCCTTTGGGCTGCTGGGGCCACAGTAGTGCAAAGTGGGATGGAGAAAGAGACATATGAAGGAGTGATGGGAGAAGGTGATAGGGTAGGAGGGAATGTCTTCTGATACTTCCAGGCCTCCAACCCCACTCTTTCAGATTCGTAGGGTCAGATATGGAAAAAAAAAACACAGTCCACTAAGAACAGCACATGCTTTTAAGGACAGACTAGAATTGGTCATTGTTATACATTCAGTTCAACCTTTTTCTTACAAACTCTGATCATAGTTGTACAAATCCACACCAAGGTGTGTGAATTGGGGTGGGGGTGGGGGGCTCTGTTACTCAGAGGAAAGTGGAAGCTACAAACCGCATCTGTGCAGAGCTTCTCCCATTGTGGTCTCTAGAAGCAAACCATTCACTGCTCAGAACAGGGGCAGTGCATGATTTGTACATGGTGCTAGTTTGAGGTGACAAATTTGGACATTCTTGCCATTGTGAGCTTAAAAACTGTGGCTACTCATTCATTTTCTATCAAATAGGCCACTAGCCATGCAGTAACATTGCTTAAGCTAAGTAAGGGGAAACACGTCATTCAAATAGAAATTAGGAAAATTTCTTCAGTTTGTTCCTACTATAAAGCATCAGTGAGACCAACTATGGATGAGTCATTTTCAAAATGGACAACTGCCTGTTTATTGAAAGAAGATGAAACAAATATGAACCCATTTCTGAGAATGCAGTGGCAGAGTGAAGAATGCAGACAGGCTCAGATTTAGTGGTGAATTTTGCCTAGTCTGTGGCTAGCATGAATCATCACAGAAAGCAAGGAGGGATAATGAAACGACACCTGAATGAAGTTGTCTTGCCCAGTCAAGGAAAGCCCCAATTCCTGAACTAACACAAGTGGGGAAGAGGGCTGGGATTCACTATAGCACTGAGGTTCCATTAGCACACAGGGAAAAGAAGAAAAAGCCAGCCTTCCTCCTCCTGATTCTACTGATATAGAATGACATAGGCATCTCACTGTTTTTAATGGTTAGTTTTGTGGGTTGGCCCACACACAACAAGCCCAAAGTCTCAGCTCACTATTAGAGACTGTTTTTGTGACCTTGCTTATAAGTCTGGTAGGAATGATTATAACTAGGCTGGGCCAAGAATGGAACTCACACCTCTGGTCACAAAAATGGTCCAGAGCATGCATGTGACCCATCTGAGCTAACTGGAATTCTTGGAAGAAAGAAGCCATCTTTTCCTAGGTCAAGTTACATTTCAGGTCTACTTACAGCAATGTCTCCTGCCAAGTGAAGAGTTCTTTGAGAATGACAGTGACTGAGAGAGAGAAGCAGGAACAACAATGTCCTGCAAGCACAGAATCCCAGTCCCAACCCCCAGGTACCCCAGACTCTACTCTATCCTTCAGTTCTTCTCCACAAGCTACCTCATTATTCTACGATTTAAATTACAGTTTTGCTCTGGCTAGTCAAGTCATGACAGAATTCTAAGAACATGTACATCAAATTAGCTTCCCATCATCGATACCCCAAAAGTCCACTTACATCAAACCCAACGACTATACAGTCATCCCTCACTGTTTTGGGGAGATTCCAAGACCTCAGAGGATACTAAAATCTGCAGATGCTCAGTCCCATATATAACATATAAATGACAGTGTTCACATGTAATCCACACGCATCCTCCTGTATGCGTTAAATCATCTTGGATGACTTATAATACCTAATGCAGTGTAAATGCTGTGCAAATAGTTGTCACACTGTGTTCTGTAGAGAGTAATGACAAGAAAAGAAAGCCTATAGATTACAATGTCAACATATTTTTATTTCAAATACTTTCGATCCACTGTTGGTTGACTCTGGATACGGTACCCATGGATATGGAGGGCTGACCATCTCTCCAACCATGAGCTCCTGCTTCACTCCACGCCCTCCCACCTGAGCAGGTCCTCCCCAAGCTCTGAAGATGCCCTTCTCAATGTAGAGCTTCAGCCCTGATGCTCTTCATAAAGAATCCTAACAGTCTGGAGTGGAGACATCAGCAGGGCTGGTGCAGTACTGAGAGGGCAATGACTCCAATGAGCCAGGTGTGTGTATATTCTAGGGAGCCTTTCTGGGTTGGCCTTAAGATTTAGGATGGCTTCCACACGGAACATTCCTCCTCAGGGATAGGTTGGAGGGTGACCCAGCTTTGTCACCTGGAGTGCATTATAAAACTAAGCAGCCACACGGTAGGGATGATGACCCCACCTGGAATCACATACCTGGGGTAGAAGCTATTCATTTGGGGAGAAAAACAAAACAGAAATTTCTGGTTTGGAGAAGGACCTGCATTCAGTGTGGCCTTGTTGGGCCTGAGTTGCAATGGAGTGTCAGATAGATAGGCTCATAGACTAGCATACCCCAGATGTGTACCCACATCACCTGGAATTTTGGTAAAATGTGGAGCTCTGGGCTGACACCTGGAATTCTGAGTTTCTAATAAGCTCTCAGGAAATATCAATGCTCATCCCTGGGCCACACTTTGAGTAGCAAGGCCATAGACTATTAGGAACATAGATCTGGAGGTCACCACAGGGATGGAATGCCCTCAGAGTATAGGCCAAAACTGGAGTCCTGACAGCGAGCAAAATCCCCAGGGAGAGGCTGCCCAACAAGGAGGGAAAGGGGGCCAGGCCTGAGTGGTGGGGAGTGCCTAGGATGGAATGTCTGTATCAGGCAAGGTCCCCAGAGAAAGAGACCAGAGAAGAGTGAGCTGTGAGACAGGAATGGGGAGATCCAGGTGAAAGCTGCCTCTGGGAGTTTCTCAAAGAAAGAGTTCAACAGTGTGAACTCTGGGAGGCCAAGTAGAATACAGATTGCATCTATACTCAACCTGAATAAATTGTACTTTTCTCATTTTTAAAAAATGGCTTGTTTTCCTCGGAGGTGGGGGGAGGGTGGGAATCCCCAAGTGCACAAGGCTAACAGACTTTGGCACTGAGCTGTGTCTAGTCCACTCAGTGTATTTTATCCAAAGCCGCCCTCATTTTCCCATAGCGTGGGAGATTTGGACAAGACTCTTACAGAATGTGCAAGTGGGATGTGATGGGTGGCTGTGGCACTGTTCTGTTGCTTCTTTTGTCACTGGTAAAGGATGACTTGGTGCCTGCTTTCTAATAAACACAGCTCAATTAGTTCCACACCAATTTATTGTCTGATTGTTAAATGTTAATGTACTGCACCCTATAGTTTTAAATAGAATTAGAGATGTTTACAGCTTCGGTTATATGCACCTTGTTCTTCTACATTAAACTTTATTACAAGTGTCCTCCATCAACAAACAGGAAAAAAGCTCATTAGTGGCTAGTCTGAGGCTGTGGCTGCTGTGGAAGGAAATGGAGGTCCTTTTTCCTTTATTATTGTTTTCTGGCTACTGGGGTGGCTGGGTGGGATTCTTCCCTGTTTATGTGTATAATTAGAACTTCAGACTCCTCAGTATATGGATGAGTGTTAGGGAACCCACCGATACCCTGTGTTCTTATGTAGAAGTCTATGCTGTGTTCATGAAGGGTCAGTTTTCTAAAGAGTCTGTGATCTACAAGACCTTTAGAGATACTATACCGGGTCCCCAAGCAATATCATGATGAACCTGGGGAAACTAGGTAGGTGACAAGGGACCTGCCAGTTGGGACCTGGGCTCTTGACTCCCAGTCCCATAGCCTCCAAAGTTCGTTGGCCCTGACACGCCCCCATCCTACTACCTACCATCTGGCTATGGGAGGCCCACTTGGGTGTACCTAGCTCCCCGGGGCTGGGGCTGGTCTTTGCTCAGCTAAGGATTGGGGCTGCCCATCTTCCTCTTTGCAGGATTTCTTCCATTCTATTCCTTTCTCAGCCCCAGGGCAGGTTCCTGGTTTTCAGAGTCCTGAGTACCACAGCTGTGACTGTAGCCCAGGCCAGCTCATGGTCAGTTTGGAATTCTTCAAAGTGTCTTGTTCTTGCCCCACTCTTCATTCTTCTATCTCATCAGGATTCCATTTCCTGGTTCTCTAGGGATCTCCTTCCCCAGGTAGCTCCTCTTCTCATGCATTCAACCTTTCCCTCAGTCCCCAAAGTGACAAGTGTTTCTCACCTAAGATAGACCTCTTACCAAGGCATCATTCTCCTCTGACTTCTTCCTTCCCCCTCCAGTCTCTGCTCCCAGCTGCCTTGCTCCAGCCTCTTGCCCCTGCTGGTGCCTTTGCCACCCCTCAACTCAGCTCTGCTCACGGACTTTCAGAAGCACTGCTGAGTGTCTGTTCTATTGCAGAGTATTCTCTGCACACTTTTGACACAGGTGACCTTTTCCTCTTTGAAACCAACCCCTGATTTTCTAATGCAATTCACCTTCCTGTACTTGGGCCACCACCCACTTTCCTTTCCTGGTGTTCATTCCTCTACCCAGCCGTTCAGCGATGGATTTCTATCAAGTTCACTCTTGGCTCTTTCTCTCTCACTCACACCTAAAGTTTCTGGCCACTTTCCAACTGCATCCTGAGAACTCTGCATCCATAACTCCAACTTGATCCCTGTCCTAAGCTCTGTAGCTGCTCTCTGGCCCTTCCCCTCAGCATCCCTCATGCCTCTCAGAGGCAAATGGACACCCTAGGCCTTCCTTCAATACCTATCTGGACATCCTGGCTAAGAATCCTTCTGTTCATCCCATAACTAGAGCTGTGACTCTGGTGTCACTGGAGATGTTAGAATTATTGCTGACTTTAATGAAAAATGCTGAGTTCTGGGCACTGGGCTGATCAGATTTTCTCTCATCTCATTAGGCCAGTGTAATTCCACCCTGATCTCAGAAGGAGACATGGAGGTTCAGAAAACTTGTATAGCCAGCCACCTTCCCCATCTGCTCCAGGCACATGGTTCCTGTTTCCAATCAGCTCTGGTCACCTCTCTCATGGATCACCATACTCACTCCTGACTT